AAGCAGCATCTGGCTGCAGTTTAAAGACTTCTCGGTCTCGATACCCTCTGGTCTCGGTCTGGGTTTAGGTGGGCTTGACTACAAGTGTAGTGCGTTCTAACAAACATCGTCTCTACTGCACGAGGCTGTAACAAAACCCTGCATCTGCCTGTCAGGGTTAGCAGCTTTCTGCTGCATGTGTTCACACTCTTACACCGCACTGTGTTTGTGAGCTAAAAGACAAACCGTTTGCTTTCTTGTTATTCAAACCGATCCTGAAGTAAGACTTGACTATGTCAGAGGGAACAGCGACTGTGCCGGTTTGTCTTTAAACAGCTGTCATCTTTTTCCTTAATGTAACACTTCTTCACACACATGAGTCTGCCAGCTAGCTACAGCTGCTAAACATGTAGACCTGAACAAAGGTGAGCAGTGGTGATGTGCTCCCACCCAGAGGTGCAGTCCTGTGGGATCCACAGCTGAGGCAGTAGTTGCGGCTCATCAGCCCCCGTTCACACAGGGAGTCCACCTGCTCGTCGTCGTACAGGAAGCCATCCACGTGAACCGTCGGCCGTGACCGCCGCTGCATCTGGAACACGTACCAAAGCTTCCTCGTCATCCTCATCATCACCACACCTCTCTCCATTAACATCATGAAGCTCAGACCTGTCTCCACTAACACTGCCTCGTTCTACCAACACGGACACTCACATAAGGAGGACACTGAGTGCCGTTATGATCAGACGTACGCAGCAGGCGCACAAACACGAAATCAAAGACTGAAATATAATGGCTCAATATTTTTAAACTTCAGAAAGGTTTGAAAATGTTTGTAAGCCCCAAAAAATATGCCGTTATTTTTGTGCCACTATTCTGAGCGCACGGAAAAAAGTCTGCAGGTGCAAGTGTTGCATTTTGAAGAGAAATTTAATTTGAGCGAACAAACTTCATTACTGCGTGCAAAGAATGTACTTCAGTGTTTGCTATTATCCACACACACACACACACACACACACACACCAGCAGCCCCTCTCGCTCAGTTTTTGCGCTCGCTCTCAAAGTGTCGCTCGCGCTCTCAACATTTCTGCCCGTGCGCACTCAACTCTTTCTCTACACCGTTATATTTGTGCCACAAAACCAGCCAATCACAGACTTGGATGCAAAAAAATATGATTGGCTGTTCTGTTCTCCAATCAGCTTAAAGTATAAGATAAGATAAGATAAGATAAGATAAGATAAGATAACCTTTATTAGTCCCACACGTGGGAAATTTGTTTTGTCACAGCAGGAAGTGGACAGTGCAAAAGTTATGACGCAAAAATTA